CATGGTCTTCTTTCTTTCATTAATATCTTGAACTTTAAATCACCCAGGTTTGATTTTTAAGTTTCTTTAATTGCCAAAGGCCACTTTCTACAGCTGCAATCCTTAATTCAGATAAAAATCTCGACATGTAAGGGTGTTTAAAGCTGATAGAGGTCAAATAGCTCATTTCTGTTAGTTAATTGTCCAAACTTTTTAATATAGCAATAAATTAGCAAGTGTCTAGAAAATGATATTCTTCTTCAAAATCCATACTTCAAAAAACACAAAGGTTAATCTTATTATATCACAGACTATTCCCACCCCTTCATTGTAAGACAAAACTTACTTGGAACTTTCAATTCAGTTTTCCCAACTTTAGGTTCAAACAATCACTCAGCATATGTGAAAGATTAGCAGCTACGAGGCAAGTAAAGGGATTAAGGTGCCAATGTACACAAATTATCAAAAACCTGTGCAGCAGGGGGTTGGAATACAAGGGTGCTGAAACTTGCTTTAGTTGTATAGAACATTGGTCAGACCCTCTGCGAAGTACTGCATTTTACATGATTAAAAGATTTGATAGGGTGGGCTCAGTTGTGGAAGAATACTTAACAAGAGGGCACACTATCAACGTTACAAATAGCCTTTTAGAAAGTGAAATCAGGCAGCAACTTTCATGCAAAACAAATTGGAAATCTGGACCTCTTGCCCCAAAGCACTATAGATATTAGATGATGTAAACTTTTTTAACGTAGGGGATTTGGAACAAAGACAGATAACAGAGTTGCAATACAGAACCGCCCATGATACAACAAAACAGAAACAAGCAGTCAAAGGCCTTATATTTTCATGACTCTTCATCTGTTGTGGCTTCAGAGTGACATGAAAGTCATTTCCAAATTTTTGCTAAGTCTCATTTAATTTGCCCCTTTGGTTATGTGTCACTTCAGACATCAACCGAGTGTTTACCAAAAATGCTGCTCTGTTTCCATTTACATCAAAAAGCAATTAAGACAGAATTTTGATCCTTTTACTCGTAACTGTGCTTGTGGAATGATTCCATTGTGTCAAGGCATAGGTTTGTTATATTAAATCATACTCATTAATTAGGGAATTTTATTTTCTATGGCTCTAAGAGTCACATTACTATTTTCAGACTGCATTTCATTTCATTACTTTGATAATAAACTTTTAGGACTAATAAAGGAGTATTCTGCACATTCTATCATGGCAGCCTGAATTGTCAAACAGATTGACATAAATAATATCTCTGATTTAGCTCCTAACCAGCTATTGCTACACAGATTGCTACACAAGATTTCTGTTTATCTGTAGGCCCTTCAAGGACAACTTTGGAAACACTCACAGAGTATGTTGAATGCAATCTGATGGAGGAATAACTATCTTTTGTAACTTTAATCTTTTTCCTAAGAAGCATCCACAACACATTTGTCTAACTAACTTAGAGGTCTTGTGTTCACATTATTTCCAATAATAAAATAAATATGAATTGAATTTTAAACAGTTGGCATAGTGCAAGAATGCCAAGAAATATGGAGTGCCTAGGTTTGGAACATTTCTGGGCTTCATTCAGGATATCATGTTGTTTCACTGCAGCTCATGTAGAAGCTGCACTTTCGACAAAAGATGAAGAAACTACCAAAGGCAGTTCACCTCTTTTTCCAGTTAGATGATTAATAAATATGTCAAAATGTTTCAAAAATTTAAAACAGACCTCCATGTGAACTGGTCATACCACCAACTGTGACAGAAACCATAATGCATCAAGTTCAGGATTGTACTTCTATTTTATGCAATGTAATGAGATGTCAAAGCATTCCATCCCATGAGGGGTGATTGTGGCATGATACTAATGTCATTAGACTTGAAATCCAGATGCCCAGGCTAGTGTTTTACAGAGATGTGTTCATTTTTTAAAAATTCGAATGACTAAATCTGCAAGATAAAGTTAGGTTCAGTAATGGTGACTATGGCAACTATCACTGATAGTTGTAAAAATCCACCTGGCTCACTAATGCTATCTGTACCTGGTCTGGCTTACACATGACTCCAGCAATGTAGTAAATGTAGTAGACTCTTAATCGCCATCTGAAATGGCCATAAGACCATAAGACATAGGAGCAGAAATTAGGCCATTCAGCCCATCAGGTCTGCTCCGCCATTCAATCATAGCTGATAAGTTCCTCGACCCCATTCTCCTGCTTTCTCCCCGTAACCCTTGAGCCCCTTGATAATCAAGAACCTATCTATCTCAGTCTAAAATGTACTCAATGACCTGGCCTCCACAGCCTTCTGCGGCAGTGAATTCCACAGATTCACCACTCTCTGGCTGAAGAAATTTCTCCTTATCTCCATTCTAAAAGGTCTTCCTTTTACTCTAAGGCTGTGCCCTCGGGTCCTAGTCTCTCCTACCAACGAAAGCATCTTCCCAACATCCACTCTGTTCAGGTCATTCAGTATTCTGTAAGTTTCAATTAGATCCCCCCTCATCCTTCTCAACTCCAATGAGTACAGTCCCAGAGTCCTCAAATGTTCCTCATATGTTAAGCTTTTCATTTCTGGGATCATTCTTATGAGCCTTCTCTGAACCCGCTCCAGGGCCAGTACATCCTTCCTGAGATATGGGGTCCAAAACTGCACACAATACTCCAAATGTGGCCTAACCAGAGTCTTATAAAGCCTCAGCAGTACATCCCTGCTTTTATATTCAAGTCCTCTCAAAATAAATGCCAACATTGCATTTGCCTTCCTGACTACTGACTCAACCTGCAAGTTTACCTTGAGAGAATCCTGGACTAGAACTCCCAAGTCTCCTTGCACTTCAGACTTCTGAATTTTCTCCCCATTTAGAAAATAGTCCACGCTTTTATTCTTCTTACCAAAGTGCATGACCTCACACTTTCCCACATTGTACTCCATCTGCCACTTCTTTGCCCACTCTCCTAACCTGTCCAAATCCATCTGCAGCCTCCCCACCTCCTCAATACTACTTGTCCCTCCACCGATCTTTGTATCGTCTGTTAACTTAGCCAGAATGCCCACAGTTCCTTCATCTAGATCATTAAATGTATAAAGTGTAAAGTTGTGGTCCCAACATTGACCCTTGCGGAACATCACTTGTCACCGGCTGCCATCCTGAGAAAGACCCTTTTATCCCCATGCTCTGCTTTCTACCACACAGCCAATCTTCTATCCACGTTAGCACCTTGCCTCTAACATCATGGGTCCTTATCTTACTCAGCAGCCTCCTGTGTGGCACCTTGTAAAACGCTTCTTGAAGTCCAAGAAGATAACATCCATTGGCTCTCCTTGGTCTACCCTGCTTGTTACTTCCTCAAAGAATTCTAGCAGATTTGTCAGGAATGACCTCCCCTTGATGAAACCATGCTGACTTTGCCCTATTTTATCATACACTTCCAAATATTCAGAAATCTCATCCTTTACAATGGACTCCAAGCACCACCCTTTGCATGGCCTTGCAAACTATTCAGTTCAACAACGATTAGGGATGGACAACAAATGATAGTCACGACAGTGATATCCACATCCCGTAAAAGAATAACAAAACAAAACTGACATATTTAAAATCTTACAATCTGTATGAATATCAATGGACTGGGTCAGAGTAAGGTGAATTATTTGGATAGGATCAAACAAGGGAAAGGAACACACAAGAAATGAGAATTGCAGAGAAAGTGAGGGAACTTGGAGTGAATTGTTACAGATCCTTGAAGGTAGTAGGTCAAGTTGATAAGGTCATTCAGACATATCAAATCTGTTCTGAGGTACAGAATATAAGAGCAAGAAAATTATATTGGAACCATATAAATCATTTGTTAGGCCACAACTTGAGTACTGTGTGGAATTACAGAAAGGACGTAATTGCAGTAGAGAGGGTACAGAGGAGATGTATCAGGAGTTTTCCAGGGCTGGAAAATACAACTATGGGAAAATATTAAATAGGCTGGGATTGTTTTCCTTGAAACTGAGAAGGGTGAAGACAGATTTGATTGATATGTACAGAATTGTAAGGGACATGGAGGGAATGGATTAAAAGGGCATAGTTACACATTAGGAGAAAGGTAGGGGCCTAGATGTCACAAGATTGGTAGAAGGGAGATAAGGAAAGCCTTTTACACCCAGAAAGCAGTGAAACATATGGCCTAAAATACTAGAAAGACAGAAATCTTTGACATATTCAAAAGGAGTGTATCCGTTTGTACCTCAAGTGACGTAACCTCCACTGCTACAGATCAAATGCTCAAAAGTGGGATTAGTTTGGATGGCTCATTTTCTTGGTTGACACAGACACAGCAGGCCAAGTGGCCTTTCTCCATGGAATAAACTTGCTATGATTCTAAAGTGAAATCTTTGTTACCCAGTATATTGGGGAATGGGTGGTGCTGGTTAATTAAAAATGCCAGTTAATGGGTAGATACGTTGCTCTGGACACAAGCTCTGTCTTTGACGGATTGAGGAGAGAGGGGAGGCAGCTGGATCAGTCAAGAAATCCATGCAGAGCAGGGCTTCACAGAAAAGTCCCCATGTATCTGAAGATAAGGCTGACATTACAACTGATAGTGCAGTCTTTGGACCGGCTTTTAAAAAAATTGTGTGTGAAAGTTGCTCTGAATGAAGTTTCTTTGTTCAGGTACAATAACCAAAACTGGCCAAATAATTTAATAATTACAATGTGAAGACTAAGAACAACTATATTCATAGTCTACAAATTTTTTAACAGAATGCAGTACTAAATATTGAAAGTGGATGGCTTTCAAAAATCGCAGTTACTAGAGAATTCCAGTTGGCAGACTGCAGGACAGCACAATATTTATGGTACCATACTCAGTGGTAGCTGACAATGATTGGATGTCTGGCATCTGCTATCTCTGCGATTGTCTGTTGAAGAGGAATACTTATAAACACAATTGCTGCATTAAATATTACCAATAAAATCTTTCATAAATAGCTGAAATGAACATGCATTAAAGATTTATTACCTCTTTTAGGGCGGAATCTTTCATTGTTTGCTTCAAGCACATGTTTTGTCCTAGGGAAAAAATAAGAGGTTTGTTGTTAAATTTCTCAACAAATGCAGGACAATTCTGCCAATGAACTAATGACCTTCTCATTTGTTTAGATAAGCTACTTATTGAATAAAATTCCTGAACCACTGCCGGAAACTCACATTTCTTTCTTTAAAATAGGTGTTCATTTTAAGAATGATTACCAGCAGTTGTGTGCAATATTAGGCCCCAGGACACACACAGCTTTTTTTGAAGTTTGACAAAATTGGCTTAATTAGGGGAGGTACACAAATCATCTGGTTTCACACAGAACAAGTGTAAACAAAAACCGAAAAGTAGCAAAAAGCATCACAGGCTAAATTTTTGATTAGAAATCATGAAACTGACAAATTTGTTTGTGCTTTTGCGGTTTTAGTTTAGTGATTGTTTGGGATATAAAAATACTCCAAAATTAAGTAATTTATATTTGTAAGCCTTGCTGCAAATACACTTTCATTTACAACTCATTTTATGCACTGTTAAAACTTCTGATTTCTTTAATTTATTTTCTATCATCATCCTTCTTCCTAACATAATATGAAATTGGTGGATATTTAAAATTTTTAAATAGTTTATTCAAATCACTTAAAACGACTATGCACAGCAAAGAATTGTAGGTTCCCTACCGTGTGGGAGCAGGTCATTAGGCCCATCGAGTCTACACCAATCCTCCAAAGAACATTCTACTCAGACCCTGTCCCCTACCCTATCCCTGTAACCCTGCATTTCCCAAGGCTAACCCGCTGGCCTGAACATTGCTGGACACTATGGGCAATTTAATCTGGCCAATCCACCTAACTTTTGGACTGTGGGAGCAAACTGGACCACTTGGAGGAACCCCATGTAGACATGAGTAGAACATGCAAACCCCTCACAGACAGTCGCCCAAGACTGGAATCGAACCCATGTCCCTGGTGCTGTGAGACAGCAGATTCCATAGTTTCTGCCCCTTGGAGTTCTCTACTGGCTATGCTATACGAGTAGAACTATTATTATTGATCATTACCCTTTGTTTCCTGGTATTCAGCAAATTTGTCTCATTTCTGCAGGGTTTTTTTGCTTAGCCCTAGATATTAAGACTCTTGGTTATTGCAAATTATGTAATTTATTTTTCAGTGAACAGCAATCTTTATTATTTATTCATTCTCGATATCAAGAGATATGCAAGTATATCTCTTACCTAGTATCATTTGAGCTTTGTGCATTACAGTTTATCTGAAAGAAAGAAAAAAATGTATAATTTAATAATACTTCACCTTGAATTGTGAATTAACTTTGATTGAAAAGATTGCATAAAAATTCTTTGACATCTTCCAAAATACACAGTCATTTGAATGTTTCCAGAACTGGTACGTAAAGTGGATGACAGTATTGTAACATGTTGTGTCATTAAGAAATGGCAATGATTTCTCATGTCAACCTTGACAATGATCTGAGCCTCAAAAGCACTATCAATGGATGACTGGTACCAAGCTATTTATTATTTTGACAGATATTATACCACAGAGTTTTGAATCATACATAAGTTAATATATAACATTTAACTGAATAGTATTTAAAACTAAAGAAAAATGTCAACAGGACTCAACAGAGTAGAAAGAAAGTAGGAGAATCAAGAATGTGTGGATATACCAAAAGAAATAGTTAGACCATTTAGACCATCATAAAATACTTTTTTCACAAATGGGGTAGCAGAAATTTGGAATTCTTTCCTCCAAAATGCTATGGATTCTGGGTAATTAGAGCTCTCACAACTGAAATTGATGGGCCTTTGTAGATAAGGTAACAAGGGATATTGAGTAAAGGCAAAAAAATGGATTTAATTTACAGATCAAACTTGATCTACTGAATGACAGAGCAGATTGCAGAGATTAAATGACCTGCTCCAGTTTCTGTTAAATATTTGAGTAAAACTCTGGTATAGATAGAATTATGGTGCCCTCTCATGTCAGTATTGAGTGTAAAATTATAAAATTAAGACGTTTTGTGTATTTTACTTCGCTTCCTCCCTTCTTTATTTCGACGTGATACAAGTCCTATGCCTGTGAAACCCAATTTTGTACTTTTAAAGTGGTGATGTGTTGATAACTCAGTTTAGTCTGGGTACTCAAAATCAGATTTATACACAATCTAAACACACCAACACTACAAGAAGCAATCAGCATTGAGTGAAAGACTTGGTAAAATAAACAAGTGAAAATTGATCCCTTCATTTTTGGTCACTGCTCAACTAAAAACATATGTAAATACCAGCTTTAACGTATTAAGATGTCTAGCAGAGCTTCAACAGAGGCATTATTGAATAGAGTTTGCTACTGAGCTACTAAGCTACATATACCACAAGGGACAAAAAGCTTTATCGAAGAGAGAGGTTTTAAGGCTTGTCTTAAAAGAAGCAGACAGATTTAAGACGGAAATTGCAGAGCTTAGGGTCTAAGCAGCTGAGGGCATGGCTACAACTGAGGAGCAATTAAAACTTGGGATTCACAAGAAGCTGGAACTGAAGGAGCACTCATATTTCCGAGGGGTGATTGATGCTGTAGGGGGAGAAAAGAACATGTTCATGGACAAATTTGAAATTAAGTTTGAGAATTTTAGCAACACCTATACCAAATCAATATGTGATGCAGCACATAGAGGCTTGCAGCACAAAAAAGGCCTTTTGGTCGCTGCTGGTCAAAAACAACACATGACTATTCTAATCCCATTTTTCACTTGGCCCACAGCGTTGCATGCCTTGGTAACACAAATGCACATCTAAATGCTTCTTAAATGTGAGGAGGGTTTCTGCCTCTACCATCCTTACTGGCAGTGAGTTCCAGATTCCCACCAACCTTTGGGTGAAAAAGATTTTCCTCATTTTTCATCTAAACTTCTGCCCCTTTAAGTCTATGCACCCTGGTCATTGATCCTTCCATCAAGGGAAAAGTTTCTTCCAGTCTACACAATCAAATCCCATCATAACTTAATACATCTCAATCACATCCCCTCTCAGTCTCCTCCGTTGCAAGGAAAACAACCTCCATCTACCCAATCTCTCTTCTTAATGAAACTCTCCAGCCAGGAAACATCTCCTTTGCACCTTCTCCACTGCTATCAAATCACTCCGTAGATTCCAGAACTGTATTCAATGCTCTAACTGTGGCCTAACCAACATTTTATACAGTTCAAATATAACCTCCCTGCCCTTAAACTCTATGGTTTGACTAATAAATGTAAGTATGCCATAAGCCTTAACCACTTTATCCATCTGTACTGATACCTTAAGGGATTAGTGGACATGCATACCAAAGTCCCTCTGATCTTTGATACCTCCCAATGTCCTATCATTCTCATGTATTCCCTTGCCTTGTTTGTCCTGCCCAAGTACGTCACCTCACATTTATCCAGATTGAATTCCATTTGCCACAGATCAGCCCATATGACCAGCCATCTATATCCTCCTCTAATCCAAGGCTATCCTCCTCACTATTTACCACCCTCCAATTTCTGTATCATCCGTGAACTTACTGATCAACCCTTTCACACAATGACATCCAAAAGCGGCCTAACCAATATCCTTCACAGCCGCAACGTAACATCCCAACTCCTATACTCAATGCACAGACTAATAAAGGCAAGTGTACCAAACGCATTCTTCACTACCCTGTCTATCTGCGACTCCACCTTCAAGGAACTATGAATCTGCACTCCGAGATTACGTTGCTTGGCAATACTCCCCAGAGCTCTACCATTAACTGTATAAGTCCTGCCCTGATTTGCCTTGCCAAAATGCAACACCACACGCTTATCTAAATCCTTTAGCTAATTTTATACCCATTTGACTACTGTTTCTTTAAACAAATGAGCTTTATTTTTTCAAACAAGCCTATTATGTGGTACTTTATAAATTGTTAGAACTCTGGCTGATCTTTCATTATTTTTAGCTTTGTTCTTTTATCAATTTTGAACCATGAGTTGGAAATGAGTTGTGGACTTTGAAATACCATGTGGCAAAATGGAAAAAACAGACAAGCTTTGTTAGTGAGGCCAGGCTTGAAAGCTAATAGCAGGCTGATTCTTGATTGAAAGGATCCTAACAGATACAGGGATCCCGGAAGAGCATTATGTTTAAACAGAAAGCAGATGTTGGTTATGAACGAGGTCGGTATCTGGGAACTAGTTCCAATAAGTCTGGAAGGAACCCTGTGTTCAAGCAGTTGGCAGATATTGAATGGCAATTGAGGCCTTGGGAAGAGTTGATCAGTCTATCAGGGTGGAACAAGAACTGAAATTTCTGAACTATATTTTCTGAGAGATGTTCTGGGCTGCTGCTGAGGCAGCATGAAGATATGAATGCTCCCTGTCTTCTGTTACACCAGCTTCTAGAAGCAAAAGGGTACAAAGCTGAGTAAGAGATATTGTTGCCTTTGCCTTGGTGAACTGAGAAGTTGACCCTGATCAACACTTCAGAGAAAGCAACCAAGGAGTGCACATTTATACCTGTGAAACAACACATTGTGAAAGCCATTTAAGTAATGTGACCAGTCTTGTTTTTTTTTCATCTATCTCTTAACTGTATTTGTTTCTCTGTGAAGGGAGGCTGAAAGCAAATGTTCCAAGTTTAAAGCATAGATGTTCACTTCTGTTTTTGGACTGGTAATAAATGAATGCTTAAAAAATACATTACTGCAGTGATCCATATATTTATGCTGATCCACGAGATTTATTTTTAATTTAAGCATTGGGACAACAGCAAAGAAATGTACTTACCGAAGGTTTTTCTAATACCTTTCTCTTTCCATCCATTCTACATGAAATTAGAGGAAACACAATTATTAAGAATTGATCAAACATACCAACACTGCTGCCTCACAGTACCAGGGACCCGGGTTTGGTTCCACTTTCGGGTGACTGTGTGGAGTTTGCACATTCTCCCCAAGGCTGTGTGGGTTTCCTCGGGTGTTCCGGTTTCCTTCCACAATCCAAAGATGTGCAGGCTAGGTGCATTGGCCATGCTAAATTGCCCGTAGTGTTCAGGGATGTGTAGATTAGGTGGTTTATAGGGGATGGGTCTGGGTGAGATGCTCTGAGGGTCAGCGTGGACTAGTTGGGCCAAAGGGCCAGTTCCACACTGCAGGGATTCTAGGTCTATCATGAGAAGATAGCACGTAAGCAAGGAACTTAAACTATGAATGGTTTATTTTTCTAACTGGATTATTTTCCCTCAGTCCAAGATAAATCCATGCAAAAGGTGCTTTGAACATAGGTAACCAAGGACAAATGTTATCAGTGTAAAAACCAAAAGAACTGCGGATGCTGTAAATCAGGAACAAAAACAAAGTTGCTGGAAAATCTCAGCAGGTCTGGCAGCTTCTGTGAAGGAAAAAACAGAGTTAACATTTCGGATCCAGTGACCCTTCCTCAGACTTTTTTCCAGACCTGTTGAGCTTTTCCAGCAACTTTGATTTTGTTCCAAATGTTATCAGTGGTTGGCTTTGACTGAATTTAAGTCTCCTAGGTTTAGCACAGTTGCAACTGCTAAACTTGCAATGCAAACTCAAGTTGCTTACATACCACTACTAACAAACCAACTTAGCTCAACATTCATGGCTCATCATGGGAAACTACTCATACAAAGTAATTGTCACATTGGTCTATGTGACTAAATAAAATTCCTTCAATAGCTGTGATACAGTAGATGAGTTAAGAGCTATCCAAATGGCAATAATATGAAGTCAAAACGTTATACCGAATAAAAATCGCCTTGACTTGCATTGAAGTGGCATAAGCAGTGGCTGGGAAGAAAAAGGGATTTACGCTTCAATTACTGCAAAGTCAAGGTGATCTGATAATCTTCAAATCCACTTTTCCCGTCTTTTCCCCATTCCTTTCCAGATCTGAAATCTGTCTACCCCAGCCTTGAATATACTTAACGATCTGGGCTCTACAGGCCTCTCTGGTGAAGAAATCCACAAATTCATGACCTTCTGAGAGAAGGAATTCCTCCTCATAATTTTCTTAAAAAAGCAACCTCTTATTCTGAGATTATGCCCTCTTGTCCTAGACGCTCCTACAAGGGGAAACAATCTCTCCACATCTAACTTGCCAACTCACTTAACAATCATGCATGTTTCAATAAGGTTGCTTTTCATTCTTCTGAATTCCAATGAGTACAGGGCCAACCTACTCAACCTCTCCCCATAAAACAGCCTCTCCGTACCTGGATTCAATATAGTGTACCTTCTCTGGACTGGCTCCCACGCCAGTGTATCTTTCCTTAGATAAGGGGTCCAAAACCATTTACAGTATTCCAACCGCAGTCTGATTGGTGCCTTGCACAGTTTTAGCAAGATTTCCCTACGTTTACACTCTATTCCCCTTGAAATAAAGGGCAACATTTCATTTGGCTCTCCTGTTACCTACCCTACTTGTAAGCAAGTTTTTCGAGAATTATGCATGAGGATTCCCAAATTCCTGTGCTAAATAAAGGGCAACATTTTATTTGGCTCTCCTGTTACCTACTCAATTTGTATGCAAGTTTTTTGAGAATTATGCATGAGGATTCCCAAATCCCTGTGCTGAAGCTTTCTGCAGTGCTTCTCCACTTAAATAATAGTCAGCTGCTTTATTCTACCTGTTAACCTCATAATTTCCGACATTATATTCCATCTACCAAATTTTTGCCCACTCACTTAATCTGTTCAAATCCCTATTTAATACTTTTTGTTTCATCTTCACATACATATTTTTGTGTTATCTGCAGACTTGCCTATAGCACCTTCACTTTCCTCATCTAAGTCATTAATATATTGTAAATAATTAATAATAATCTAAATATCTTGGAAGATTACACGAGGATATATTCCACCAGGTCCAGTGGACTTATCAGTCTTTAGCACCATTTATTTAGTATTTATTTCTTCTCCCTCTTTTACCCCTTGATTATTTAGTAATTTTGGAACGGTATTAATGTCTTCTACTATGAAGACTAATGAAAAGTATTTATTCAACTCCGCTGCCATTGTTATTTCCCAGCCTCGTTCTCTTAAGGGCCAATTTTAACTATCGCTTCTTTCTTCCTTTTTATATATTTAAAGAAGCTCTTGCTGTCTTGATAGTAACTTACCTCTCTTTATTTTTGGCTTGTTGGTTTTTTTAAACTTTCCTAATCCTGTTTGACCACTAATCTTTACCACATTGTATGTTTTTTTTTCAATTTGATGCTAACTTTAACAGCTCAGGTTAACCGTAGTTAGCTTATCTCCCTCCCAGAATCCTTTTTCTCACTAGGATATATCTTTGCTGTGAGCCATAAAGTGTTTTCTTAAACATCTGCCATTTTTTTCTCAAACATCTTTGCTTCTAAGCTCCTTTCCCAGTGCACTTCAGCAAGCTCAGCCCTCACTCCTTTGTAACTACCCTGATTTAAGCTTGTTTCTGACCCAAGTTTCTACCTCAGAAACTGAATGCTAACATCAAATGTTCACACCAAAAGTAACAGGTTGATAAATTTGACATCTTGTTTATCTCTTGGGTTGGATGGATCTCTGACAAATGTGGAAATTCATCATTTGTGTGTCCCCAAAACAAACAGCTTTGGATTTCATACAGGCAAAGTTTCTGCTTTCTTATAGAGATACAAGTTATTACAACAATTAAGTAATTACAAAGGCCTTAAAGACTGGATGAGAAGTATCAATGCTTAGAGAACCAAAGTTACATCATACCAGTTACATTACACCAAAGTTGGAGCTTAACCTGCTCAATCCATAACATTCATTAACTTCAAGGACAATCTTGAACTTAATTTGTGAATATATTTGCAATTAACTAATTTACTAAATTAAGACTGCAGTCTCTTTCTTATGAGATGAGAAACTTATCAAAAATCACCGTTCCTTGAAACACAGTTTTGAACTGTGAAGCTGAAAGACTTGCATTGACAAAATATCTTCCAAGACCCCAGGATGTTTCAAAGAACTTTAGAACAAATGAAATCACCTTGAAGTTTAATGTTGTAATTTAAACAGGTCCTTGCACTATAGGGGTGTCAAGCTTTGTGGGAAACAAATAGCAAAGTAGCGCTGATGCCTAAATCGAAATGACCGCAATCTTACAAAATGGCAATTCTGACTTTAAGACCAACCAGAAGACCAACTCTTGATCCTTTATTTTACACTAAGTTTCTGAAAAAAAATGTCAATCGTCAGGCTATTTGCTCTTAGTGATGTTGGTTGAAGGATATGGTCGAGTGCACCTTAGAATCATAGAATCCCTACAGTGCAGAAGCAGACCAATTGGTCCATCGAGTCGACACTGAACCTTCAAAGAGCATCCATCTAAACGTACCCACCTAACCTACACACCCCAGACACTACGGGCAATTTAACACGGCCAATCCACCTAACCTGCACTTGTTTGGACTGTGGGAGGAAACCGGAGCATCCAGAGGAGACCCGTGCAGACGCAGGAAGAATATACAAACTCCGCACTGACAGTCGCCCAAAGCTGGAATCGAATGCCAGTCCCCGGTGCTGTGCCACAGCAGTGCTACCCACTGGGTCACCATGCCACCCCATAGGAGAACACATTCTCTTCTTCAAATAGTGACACAGAATCTTTTATGTCAACCAGAGGGCAAGTGGAGCTGCGGTTTAACACTTTATTGGAACAAGAGCAGTTAGGACACTGTGGAACTCCCTCGGCACTACACTTGATTGGGAGAAGGATGCCAGCTGAACGGACCTGCTCAATGCCTTGATGCGAAACTTGCACTTACAACCAACTCAAGAGGCTATGTGTGCTACCCATTCACAGAGCTAAGGCCATTAACCAAAACTGTTAAAATTACCCAACTGAGCTTTAAAACATCATATGTAGATCCTAAAATAATTGAATGGGGGAGGAGGAGAGGAAAATGTTTAAAGTGAACTTTTCAAGCAATAGTTGTGGTAAGGGGAAGGGATAATTGGAGAAAGTGAAACCGTCCTCTGCTGACAGCACATCATCTCATTCCCCTTCAAACAAGTTGCTCCAACATCGTTTTTTCACATTTCATCTGCATAAACGCAGAGCTTGACACTTAAAAAGAAGCGATTACCCCAGCCCGATCTGCAGTCGGCACTCCAGGCTGTCTCAATGGAACTAAACAAAAACACAAAATACTTTCTGTTACCTTTTTTAAACATATCTCCACAATCTCCACAATCTCCACGACCTCCCCTCCCCCGCTCACCAACAAGCCCGAGCTGGAGCCGGATTGACCGAGCCGTCTCCCCTCTCTCCCATGCCCCGAGCAGCGCCACCATAAGGCACCCAAGCGCCACGGCAAGTTGAGGTGAATCCCGGAGAACACTAATTAGCCTTGGCAAAGGGCAGGTTTGCCTGGGGGTAAAGAGGGTAACCAGCACTGGCGCTGTGTGCCTGACAGGTGTGGTACTTTTCGGCAACACATGGTAGGCACCCCACCTCAATGCCAGCTTTCAAGTGAGCCATCAAACTGATTGGCTGCGCCCTGGGAAAGAAGATAGAAGAACAAGAGGAAGATTTGGGATGCATGGGTCATTTTCAGATTGACACTCTTATGACTATTGAAGACGAACAGATATTGCTGCAGAAACTCAGCGGGCCTGGTAGCATCTGCAGAGAGCAATAAAGTTTTGAATCTGCTATAATGATGCACAAACAGTTTTTCTCCCTGCAAATGCTGCCAGAGCTGTTGGGTTTCGCCACCATTTGCTGCATTGGTTTCAGACTTCCCAGCATCCGCAATATTATACCTTTATACAATTATCAGACTGCGGCAGAGATGGGTGTTGGCGCCTCAGCTACATGTGATCTACATTAACGACTTGGATGAAGAGTTCTGATTACGTAGTAGATAGGTAGGAAAGCA